GAAACCACATGTACGTGTCTACTTCAGAAACCACTACATCTTACCTCGAGCGTGGCCGCCGAGTTATTATTTATTAAACAGTTGGCAAGTTTTTAAATTGGCCAATTCAAGGTTGTGGTTGTTACTGACACTCACACAGCACCTCTGAATTCCCAGAGACCTTAACATGTGCAAATTCAGCCACAATGATTGAAGAAGATAGAGAGGTTGTGTACATAGACACGTAAATGCTTGACTAATTCTGGCCATGAATTGGATAACAAAAATCAGGCATTTTTATTTTTAAGGCATAAGAATTAAGGTAACTGCAGAAGGCCTATTGGCCCCTATGAGGCAGCTGCTGAATCATCTTGAGATAAACTTGAACCTCATTTAACAACAAAAACAGTAATTGGACACTAGACAGTTCCTGCCACTTGATACCAATTTCAGAGGGGTGATAATGCTGCTTAAAATGTGACAATTTAAAGCATTGTCCATTACCCGCTCTAATTGGCGCATCTCGATCATATCTCGTTAATAGAGCGCCAACTGGGTGAGGCCAAGTGTTAAGCTTGCTCAGTAAGAGCGACATTCACAGCCAGTTTAATGGGAAGGTCATCCTCAATGACATCCATCAAGCTCGCGCACAAAAAATAATTGCAACAGCTTATGTTGAAAGCCCAGAGAGCCGATTGCACTGCGTGTTAGGATTATATCGGCTAGTTGCAGGCATTGCGTATTGCAGCCTATTGCATAGCTCAATTTGCAGCAGTTACTTATATCACTATAACGGTATCCTATGGTCCGTTACAGCAGGGTCATCGTGATGCTGTCAACCGGTGGAATACATACATCAATGGTTATTATACCAGAATGTTGCAAGTATTGCATTTTCATTGTTGCTATGGAAGTGAAGTAGCAGTAATTTAGCGGCTATATTAACCATTGCAGCTGGAGCAGGTCGCTTGACAGCACCGTATAATGGGCATATTTATAAGTCTGGTTGATAGACTACCTCATGTCGCAAGCATACCCCCTTCCCTTCCCCCCTTCCATATCATTACGAAGCCGCCGCCTCTCCTTCCCTCACCCCGTCCACTCTTCTCCCCTCCCTCTCCCCGCCTATCTTCTCACTCCCCCCCCCCCAACCCCCATCCGCCTCTGTTCACCCAGCAGTAATTGGGTACCTGGTTGTCAACCGACAGGCAGGTGGTGGTCCGGGGGGATCTAGCAGGACCAGGCTGACCCTGAGCTATGGGAAGGGAAAGCTCTCCGCCTGCTAACAGAAGTTCGTAATCGTCTCCTCCTGTACGCTTCTGTTTAAATTAACAGACCTCCGCTCCCAACATCATTATAAACATATTTTTACAGGAAAAGGGGGGGGGGGGGGGGGGGGGGAGGTATGGGTGGGGGGGGAGGTATGGGTGGGGGGGGGAGGTATGGGTGGGGGGGGGAGGTATGGGTGGGGGGGGGGGAGGTATGGGTGGGGGGGGAGGTATGGGTGGGGGGGGAGGTATGGGTGGGGGGGGAGGTATGGGTGGGGGGGGAGGTATGGGTGGGGGGGGAGGTATGGGTGGGGGGGGGGAGGTATGGGTGGGGGGGGGAGGTATGGGTGGGGGGGGGAGGTATGGGGGGGGGGGGGGGAGGTATGGGTGGGGGGGGGAGGTATGGGGGGGGGGGGGGGGGGGGGGGGGGGGGGGGGGGAGGTATGGGGGGGGAGGTATGGGGGGGGAGGTATGGGGGGGGAGGTATGGGGGGCAAGTATATGGGGGGGGGGGGAGGTATGGGGGGGGGAGGTATGGGGGGGGGAGGTATGGGGGGCAAGTATGGGGGGGGAGGTATAGGGGGGGAGAGGTATAGGGGGGGGGGGGAGGTATAGGGGGGGAGGTATAGGGGGGGGATTGGTGGGGGGTGGAGGAGAGGGAGAGGGATAGAGAAGGGGAAGAGGGGGGAGGGGGAAGAGGAGGTATATACAGGGTAGGGCAGAGGAAGAAGAATTACGGGCTCACCATAGCCCGTGCTACATGGACATGTCGTTCTGAGTAGCTAAATCTAAAACAAGAGGAAGAAGAGGTAGCCAAGAGTTAGGCGACTGTTGTGGGTGGCCTCCCATGGAAGGTCAGCTAGGACTGTGGGTCCACCAGATGCTCCGGCGGCTTCTTGAGGAGAAGGAAAATAATAACGGAAATGCCTAAGCAGACAAGACTATCCCAATTAAGAAAAGGTAATATAACAAAGGGGACCTTTTTTTTTTAAAGCAAAAGTTCTCACATCAGGCTGGACGGTATAGAGCAACAGTCTCGCTTCATGCAGGTCGGCGTTCAATCCCCGACCATCCAAGTGGTAGAGCATCAGTCCTTTCCCCTTTGCCATCCTAAATCCTTATCCTAATCTTTTCCGAGTTCTATATAGTCGTAATGGCTTGACGCTTTTCCCTGATACTTCCCATCGTACCATTAAAATTAAAGACTTATCTTTACTTATACAAAACCAAAATAGAAAACCTCCACCGGTATTTGACCAATACGTACAAGTGAAGATTCATACACAGAGGTCGAGAAAGAAAATAATGAAATCCCTAAAGAATAGTACGAATCTTTGTACTGGTACAGTGAGAGGTACGAGTCTAGTGATTCAAGTCAGTTCTAGGGGATATCTCTGAAGATGGTCGGACAAACTGTACCGCAATAATGGACAGATACAACGACAACTGAAGACTGGACATGTGCGAGGCATTATACATAAAGCCAACCAAGTCATGTATCAACAACCAACTAGCACCAAATTACGTTCTGCCATCTTGCCGAACACGACGGAACATAACCATCATGCAAACAGGAGATTGACAATATACAATGTGACCTATAAGTGTTGTGCTTCCCCTTCCTCATCCTCGGGTATTTATATCTTGCAGCAAGAAACTTTGTTATCACATGCCCATCTCACCTGACACACACTCCTAGTCTATACCAGCAAGCCTGAGTAACTTCACAAGACATCCATCGTCACTGCGGCCCGTTGAAAGGGTTGTAACTACGACAATGCGCCACAAACGCCTAAAACTCCGGACGCGCCCCATGGACGGCCATGCTTTTACCAAAAACGACGTCTTAATGATTCTAAAAGAAGGCGCCGGCAGTACACCCATTGACCTTGGTCAAGAATGGGAGAATATTATGCTCTATTTCTCGTGTGTGGAGGATCTCGAAAAACTAAAAAATTAGATGGCCCACTTCGCCAAGTGCACCACCTCTTTCCTCTCTTCCCTCGTCAGTAAACCGCCGCCCGAACAGCCTTTATCAGCTGAGCCAGCCGATGAATCGCTGACTGAGAACAGAGATCATTAGCAACATCGAGGAAGAATACCTGAACCTGGGGGTATTTTATATTATATTCTGCGGCAACGACACCGACGACGACAAGCGCCCCATAATGACGATATCCTTCACCACCTTAGCTGCGGCCAACCAGGTTGCCACACAGGGTCTTCACTGCTTCAGCATCAAGATTCCACAATTCCAAGTGAAGATGGAACAATTCCACGAGCTCCAACAGTGCTTTCGGTGCTTCGATTACTCCCACCCCACCAGGAAGTGTCAGCACCCTGTCCTTGCAGCCTCTGCGTCCAGGCCCATTATTACTCCATCTGCAAGCCAAAAACCCATTGCTGTCTGTTCTGCAGCAGCGATCACCCTGTGATTACCCACCGCTGCCCTCGCAGACAGGAAATTATTAGGATCCAGGCTGAATCCAATAAAGCCAAACCTACTTCCGCCGCCGGAGCCACAGGCACCAATCCCAGCACCTCAGCTCCCACCAATCTACCAGAAGACTTCCCAGCCCTACCAAACAGTGGCTCCTTCCAACAGGCCACCCGCCTTCCACACTAGGGACCAACCAGGACCCTCCGTGCCCATGCATCACGTGCAGGCATTATCCCTGGTCTTATTCGACTAGCGGAGAGGCTTACCGGACCGGACAATCAACGATTCATCAAGGAACTCAACGCGCTGTTGATAGCCAACGGCCTGGACCCCATCACCACCCCGAACGCAAGTCCCACTGCCTCCAATACCACACCGGAGACTACCACCAGGACGACCACGAGGTCGATCTCAATACAAACTCCAGAACCACCCAAGACCCGGGCAGCACAAGCAGAGGTATTTTCCTCTTCAGCTCCCAACACTCCTACCATCACCATCTCAGCAGACGTGCTGTCTACAAATATTAACAGCACCACCAACGCTCCTAAAATAGCTTCTACTTCTAATTCACGACACCTGAGCCTACCTCAGGCTGCGAGACCATAGACATAACCAATTACGGATGTTATGGACTCCTCAGACGAGGAAATCTTAGTAGGAGCTCCACCGCCGCAGCACAAATACGACACCTACTCAGTACAAGACCTCATGGAGGCCACCTCACCCAACTCCAACAGTACGACTCAGCCAAAGAAGAAACGGAAGACCTGTAGAGGTCTACACTAACCCACCAGCTCCATAACTGGTACAGTCAGCCCTCCAAGGCTTAAATCCACCATGAAGACCCCAATCCATCCACAGATCTTTAGTATCAGCGATTGGTACTGGTAATGGCACATTAAGTTTAATGTACAAGTTGTATATATATTAAATTTAATATACTTCCAATAAATTTAACACATTTTAATGGCGTTCTTTATATATACATCGGTTCAGTCGCTTTATTCACCGGATATCAATATATCTCCCCCTAACTTTGTAAATATAGGCGATGATTACTCTGATTGCCTCAATCAACGTAAATATGGGTAATTAGATTATTCTGGTTGTGTCACGTACGGGTTCTATTCCAAGTGATAAAATACCCGGCCACATGCAGTGCTTGTTCACCACGAGTGTTCAAATCGTGAACAAGCTGAACATAGCTTGATCTCTATTAAGCTTTTACATTATGTGTTCACTATAATCACGTGGTATGTTTGGATATAAAACAATGGGTTTCTTGGTGACGAAATATTATGAGGCCACTTTTCACATTCTTTCTTCCATTGTAAAACTGGACCGTTTGGCCGTAAAGCTTGACCCAAATGGTCGTAAAGCCGGACCATTTGGTCGTAAAGCTGGACCATTTGGTCCTAAAGTTTGGCCATTTGGTCGTAAAGCTTGACCATTTGGTCGTAAAACTGGACCATTTGGTCGTAAAGCTGGACCATTTGGTCGTAAAGCTGGACCATTTGGTCGTAAAGCTGGACCATTTGGTCCTACAGCTAGACCATTTGGTCCTACAGCTAGACCATTTGGTCCTACAGCTAGACCATTTGGTCCTACAGCTAGACCATTTGGTCCTACAGCTAGACCATTTGGTCCTACAGCTAGACCATTTGGTCCTACAGCTAGACCATTTGGTCGTACAGCTAGACCATTTGGTCGTACAGCTAGACCATTTGGTCGTAAAGCTAGACCATTTGGTCGTACAGCTAGACCATTTGGTCGTAAAGCTAGACCATTTGGTCACGAAACGAGACCATTTGATCACATAATTCCCTGACGTAACCATGAACCTACCAAGAAGGGGTTTCAAAAAGACCTTCGCGAGAGAAGTCGACGATATCTCCGACCTTACAGTGAGAGGAGTCAGGGATTTCTTCTTGGTTACAGAGAGGTCAATGATTTCCTCTTGCGTACAGAGAGACTTTGCCTTTCCATTGGAGACTTTCAGCGCCGTGGAGAGGGGGAAACCTGCTGCATGGGTAACAGCTTCTCCTCCATATCAACCTACCCTGGCTTTGCCCCCTGGTGAGGCCACTCCTGACCGATAACCAGAGCGCAACTCCATAGTCTCCTGAAACTGATGTAGTAGTAGTAGTAGGTATCCTGCTACAGACAGATGGGCACTGATTATTTCTTGACTACAGTGAGGGGTACACGTTGGACTACACGTTGTGTTTACAGACGAGGATCAATGAATCTGTCCTGTATTCATAGTAGCAAAGGATCTTGGCCAAATCTACATGGTGGTGAAGATCAGAGGATTCATACCGTCATGTATGTATTGAGAACATCTTAAGATGTTCTCAAACTTTATGTTACGCAAATTTTGAAGCTTTTTTTCGGCTGGCGCAAAAGTTACTTCATGTTTGACGCTCGTCAATCCGTGTGGACGGCCTTTAATTTTTATAGTGCTCTGCTGCTTGCGTAGCAAATTGTGCGGGCCCCGTTAACTTTTACTGATTTATTAAACCCGTTTGGCAGAGTCGTGCGTATCTTGCGTTGGAAGGGACATGCATGTAAATGGTTGGAAGTGTAATGAGTAGGGCAACACCTGCGTACCATAGCTTAAGAGAGAAATGGATAGCCAACATATCCTCTAAGAAATAAAATATATGTATGCCCGCTCGGGAGCCGGTCGGCCGAGCGGACAGCACGCTGGACTTGTGATCCTGTGGTCCTGGGTTCCTGGTTGATACCTGGTTGATGGGGTTCTGGGAGTTCTTCTACTCCCCAAGCCCGGCCCGAGGCCAAGCTTGACTTGTGAGAGTTTGGTCCACCAGGCTGTTGCTTGGAGCGGCCCGCAGGCCCACATACCCACCACAGCCCGGTTGGTCCGGCACTCCTTGGAGGAATAAATCTAGTTTCCTCTTGAAAATGTCCACGGTTGTTCCGCCAATATTTCTTATGCTTGCTGGGAGGACGTTGAACAACAACAGCGGACCTCTGATGTTTATACAGTGTTCTCTGATTGTGCCTATGGCACCTCTGCTCTTCACTGGTTCTATTCTACATTTTCTTCCATATCGTTTACTCCATTACGTTGTTATTTTACTGTGTAGATTTGGGACCTGGCCCTCCAGTATCTTCCAGGTGTATATTATTTGATATCTCTCTCGTCTTCTTTCTAGTGAGTACATTTGGAGGGCTTTAAGACGATCCCAATAATTTAGGTGCTTTATTGCATCTATGCGTGCCGTATATGTTCTCTGTATTCCCTCTATTTCAGCAATCTCTCCTGCTCTGAAGGGGGAAGTGAGTACTGAACAGTACTCAAGACGGGACAACACAAGTGACTTGAAGAGTACAACCATTGTGATGGGATCCCTGGATTTGAAAGTTCTCGTAATCCATCCTATCATTTTTCTGGCTGTCGCAATATTTGCTTGGTTATGCTCCTTAAACGTTAGGTCATCAGACATTATTATTCCCAAATCCTTTACATGCTGTTTTCCTACTATGGGTACATTTGATTGTGTTTTGTACTCTGTATTATGTTTAAGGTCCTCATTTTTACCGTACCCGAGTACCTGGAATTTATCACTGTTAAACATCATGTTATTTTCTGATGCCCAGTCGAAAACTTTATTAATATCAGCTTGAAGTTTTTCAATGTCCTCAGCCGAGGTAATTTTCATACTGATTTTTGTGTCATCTGCAAAAGATGATACGAAGCTGTGACTTGTATTTTTGTCTATATCTGATATGAGAATAAGGAAAAGCAGCGGTGCAAGGACTGTACCCTGAGGTACAGAGCTTTTCATTGCACTTGGACTAGATTTTATATGGTTGACAGTTACTCGCCGAGTCCTGTTTTGACAGAAAACTGAGTATCCAGCGTCCTACTTTACCGGTTATTCCCATTGACTTCATTTTGTGTGCTATCACGCCATGGTCACATTTATCGAAAGCCTTTGCGAAGTCCGTGTATATCACATCAGCATTCTGTTTCTCTTCTAATGCCTCAGTGACTTTGTCGTAGTGCTCAAGTAGCTGTGAGAGGCACGATCTTCCCGCTCGAAATCCATGTTGGCCTGGGTTGTGAAGGTCATTGGTCTCCATGAAATTGGTGACCTGACTCCTAATCACTCTCTCAAATACTTTTATGATGTGCGATGTTAGTACAACTGGTCTATAATTTTTTGTCAATGCTTTGCTCCCTCCCTTGTGAAGAGGGGCTATGTCTGCTACTTTAAGTGCATCTGGTATCTCCCCCGTGTCCAAGCTCTTCCTCCACACTATACTGAGTGGCTGTGCTACCAGCACTTTGCATTTCTTTATAAATATTGAATTCCATGAGTCTGGACCTGGGGCCGAGTGCATGGGCATGTTTTCAATTTCTTTTTCAAAATTTAGTGGGCTCGTGTTTATATCAGTTATATTTACAGGGGTTTGAATATCCCGCATAAAGAAATTGTCTGGATCTTCCACCTTCATGTTGTTTATTGGAGTGCTAAACATGTCCTCATACTGCTTTTTTAGGATTTCACTAATTTCTTTGTCATCCTCCGTGTATGAACCTTCACTTGTACGAATAGGTCCAATACTGGCAGTGGTTTTTGCTTTTGATTTCGCATATGAGAAGAAATATTTTGGATTTTTCTTTATTTCCTGAATGGCTTTCTGTTCTAACTGCCTTTCTTCAGTTTCATATGAGTGTTTCAATTTCCGCTCGATTTCCGTTCGATCCCAGGCGCCGGCGAGAAACAATGGGCAGAGTTTCTTTCATCCTATGCCCCTGTTACCTAGCTGTAAAATAGGTACCTGGGTGTTAGTCAGCTGTCACGGGCTGCTTCCTGGGGGTGGAGGCCTGGTCGAGGACCGGGCCGCGGGGACACTAAAAGCCCCGAAATCATCTCAAGATAACTGCAAGATAACCCCCCCCCCCCAAAAGCTTTACTATTGCAATACTTCAATTGGCAGGATAGAAAGCGAAACTACGTAATCTAATATGATTGGGGTTGTTTATTTAGGTCTATCATAAATGCCAGTTACGACCTAATTTAGTGCCCTCAGAGTAAAATCATATTACATAATGTGGTCCATTTTGATTGCAATTGTCTCAGCCAACACACAGCCTAACAGTCGCTACGATTCCCTTGTTACAACTTTTAATAAAGTAGTTACATCTTGTTATAACTTTTTGACGAATTAGAACGTTGTTACAACTTGTTATGTGTTAAAACGTGTTTGAACGTAGTTACGATGTGTGTTCGGAGGCAAAGATATAATTGGATTTGCTGGGTAATCCGGCAAAATAACCCCAGCTCCCCTGGGGCACGACCGGGCCAATAGCTCCCCCTGGGGCACGACCGGGCCAATAGCTCCCCCTGGGGCACGACCGGGCCAATAGCTCCCCCTGGGGCACGACCGGGCCAATAGCTCCCCCCTGGGGGCACGACCGGGCCAATAGCTCCCCCCTGGGGGCACGACCGGGCCAATAACTCCCCCCTGGGGGCACGATCGGGCCAATAGCTCCCCCCTGGGGGCCCGATCGGGCCAATAGCTCCCCCCTGGGGGCCCGATCGGGCCAATAGCTCCCCCCTGGGGCACGATCGGGCCAATAGCTCCCCCCTGGGGCACGACCGGGCCAATAGCTCCCCCCTGGGGCACGACCGGGCCAATAGCTCCCCCTGGGGGCACGATCGGGCCAATAGCTCTCCCTGGGGCACGACCGGGCCAATAGCTCCCTCTGGGGGCACGATCGGGCCAATAGCTCCCCCCCTGGGGCACGACCGGGCCAATAGCTCCCCCCTGGGGCACGACCGGGCCAATAGCTCCCCCTGGGGGCACGATCGGGCCAATAGCTCCCCCCTGGGGGCACGATCGGGCCAATAAGCTCCCCCCTGGGGGCACGACCGGGCCAATAGCTGGGATCAAACCCAAGAATCATCATTGTGATGAGCCTCACGTTGACTGAACGCTACATGGACGTTTATTCATTCGTGAGCGTTTGTTCGCTGGTAACGTTTAGACTCCGTTGATTAAACGTTACGTGAACATAATTTGCATATTATAATTTCCATGTCGATGCCACTGGTGGCAGGGACGTCCCAAATGTAGCGGCGTGGAGGCTTATGACCAAATATCATATTTAAATAAATAAATAATAAATAAATGTTTATTCAGGTAAGTACATACATACAAGAGGGTTTACAAAAATTGATAGATTTATAGATACAGCTAGTACATACAATGCCTAAAGCCACTATTACGCAAAGCGTTTCGGGCAGCTAGCGTGGTGGCAAGAAATCCTGTGGGAACCGCTGATTTCTGGCAGGTTGCAAATCTACCGTTGCCAGTTGCAGGAGACTGAGTTATCCCTACTCTTAACCTTATAATAAATCGTTGCAATGCCGCGCTATCAACACCACGGTCGTCAGGTCTTACAATATTGGAAATATTTGAAGCGTATTTCTCGTATGAAAACGAGATAAGATTTTACCCGTGTTTTCGGCCCAAAATTAAGGGAAATGATTGAGAATTTGGTCTCCAAACGTGGTTGTGTGAACGGCGGGATGTGCTGCCACACCTGTCAGTTCCGTCAATTTATTCCAGTACATTTTCGAAATACTACTCCATAGGAAATACACACAGTCCTCAGACCAAGTCCATTCCATCCAGCAGTCGACCCCAAAGACGCATTCACAAATTTTAACATGCTGTTAATTAACATGTTTTATTTTTTCTCAGGTATAAATTAATATTGGTTTTTATTAGCATATTGTGC